AATGTATTTTATAAAAAAAAACAAAAAAAAATCAAATGCTTTGCTTGGGTTGCCTGTGGTCGAGTCTGCGATCCTGCGAGTAAAAAAAAAAGTGGCGCTGGGTACGAGATTGGTTGTTTGTCTCGGAAAGATCACTAAATCAAAAAAAAATTGGAAAGAAAGATGAAGTTACACTTCTATGGAAAGATAATTTTCTTCAATGAAAAAAAACCATGACTTGGTGCTGAGTTTAGGACATTGCGTGATTTTCGGTTATCGCAACTAAAAAAATGGGTGTATTTCAGCATTTCAGCATTTTAATTAGTACTTTTTTTGTTATAAGTAAAAAAACTCTATAGCGGATTTCATATAACGTTTATATAATTTTTGTGTGAAAATAAATAAAAAAAAGTATTGTATTGTAGCTTGATAAACCTCGCAGCACTATACTACACTTTCAGTTAAAAAAAAGTTATATACAAACTGATTTTACAAGATGCCCGAATTACACGCATGAAATGACTAAAAAAAAGGATTTTGAAACTATTAAAAGTTGCTTTTCATATTTTATACAGCTACATTGAAAAAAAAAGCTTACCTATCAGATTCGGAATGAAGAGAAATACTCCCATTTCTAGGCCATGAAAAAAATAAAACTACCAAATTGAAAAGTCAGTTGTTTTTTAATACACAAAGCAATATGGAAAAAAAATCGTTGAGTGATTCTCGTCAGAATGACATTCTCCAAGCGAATAAATCACCTAAAAAAAATCCTTTTCTTAATTGTTGGAAAATCGTAGAATTTCGATTTTTCTACAAAAGTAAAAAAAACTAAGCAAAAAACAAGGACGTCATTCAGTAAACCGCAGACCGTGAATACACCCAAAAAAATCCCGRTCTCTAAGGAGGTATGGGAGATGGGCCACCTGTGGCGACAAACTTAAAAAAAAATCATCGTTTCTATTAAACCGACTCTGGGAGGGAGTCGCCGGAAATCTAATCTTAAAAAAACACACTAAAACAGCATAAAAATCGAAAATAACCCCTCCAGAAATGTTCATAAAAAAAAAAAGCATCTTGATTGAAGTTATTTGATATTTCAATAATGAAAAGATATGGTTTAGAAAAAAAACAGTACTTATGCACTAGTCAATTGAATCCCCCGACCCCCGACCCCCGACCCCAAAAAAAAGCGGGGTACTGAACGGGGACGTGACACGTTTTAAAGGTGCTTTTAACAGCAAAAAAAAACCGGGGGGTCGGGATTTTGATGAATTGTTTTCGAAGCGGGGCAAAGACTGGGAAAAAAAAAGTGCGTTTGAACATGTATGAGACTGGAAACTACCTTGCATGAAAAAGTTTTAAAAAAAACTTATTACCCATGTTTTTCTCGTCCAGTTAGCCTCATGTAATACGCAAATGAGAAAAAAAGATTGTGCAAAAATTAACACTGCTATCACAGAAAATTTGATTGAAAGTTGTTTAAAAAAATATTTACTACTGACCAAAATAGCGGGGCAACAGTAGCGGGGATTTTAACAATGAATGTGCCCCCGACTACTGGGGGAAATGTCTTATTTTAATACCACTCAAACGTTAAATTCAAAAAAAATCCCCGGGGGGCGGGGGTTTCAATTGACTAGTGCATTATCCGCTTTTAAGAAAAAAAAATTTAAGAACCTGTTAGCCTAAAAACATCAATTTAGACCCACATAAGAACCAATAAAAAAAAAAATTTGAAACAGGTTCTTATAGTAAGGTTCAGATTAACATCAAAAAACTTCAAAAAAAAAAACGTAAAAAAATGTAGTGAACTTAAACATGATTTTGTGTATACTTCTAAAAAAAAAATATTTATAATATTTGAAAACCTTGTAAATTTTCATTACATAAGGGATAGATCAGTACCTATTTAAGTACCTGTTGTGTAGCCAAAAATTTCACTAAGCACCATTTACATAAAAACCTGCTGTTTAGGCTAAATTTGAAAAAATGGGTTCTTATAAGCGGGTAAGTACTGTATTTTGACTACATGAAAAGCCGTTAAATTTGTCGCAACAGGTAGCTAGCCCATCTCCCGTAACTCCTCAGAGACTGGGAAGCCTGTGATACACTTATTTTAGTGGGGCGGATTAGGAGATTTTTATGTGCACTTTGGCGTACAGGCACCAAACTTCGCACAGATGTTCCTTGGAGCAATCCAAGCGATGTCATAAGGGGTGCCAAAGAATCGAGCTTACGAACGCTTAATATCCCTTATTTCTCGTCGCATACTCGGCAAAAACTGACACAAACAAAGATAGATAAGGCATCTTATGGAAAAAGCTCTTTATTACAAATTCATGTACATTTTAGCACATAAATGCAACTCAAGGATATAAGTGAAAAAAATGTATTATTAATTTCATCATTTTTTATATTTGTACGTATATAGTGTATATTTTGTATTGCTAACTCAATTATTTTTTTATTATTATTTTTTGTTCTTATGTTTTTCTTACTTTAAAAAAAATATAACTGCTAGATGTGCAAGCTTTGCAGATTATTAAATTTAGATTTAGATTTAGAATTTGCGGGCTTGAAAAGGTGAAAGGTGAGTTGCAAAACCAAGACGATGCATCTTTCCTCATCCTTGTCTGACCCTGTTTTCGGAGACCATATTGCTCTTAAACTACCTTGACTACATTGCTGATATAGTAAAGAATGTTTTCTACCAAATTCTGAAATGGTTGTTCAGCAAAAGCTGTAAAATTCTCGTAATGCAAGCTTTACTTCGTTCGCCTCAATCGACTATATTTTCCTTTTTTTTGTCCGCTCTTGTTGAAGTAGCTCAAAGGACCAATCAGTTATCGTGATATACTTTAGTCATGTCAAATTTCAAGCAAATGTGAAATAAAGAATACAAGGCAAATCACCTCATTTGTTCCCTCTAACCTATGAAAACCTTTTATACTCTACCAAGATTAAAAGCGAAATGCGTGCTTAAAGTTTAGCAACACGTATACTAAATTTAAGGACAGATAAGTATGTAATTGAATATAAATAAAAAAATTCTTCTAGTCTTTTGTTATCGATCCCCTGTTATTTTTGCATAGCTTTATACAAAAAAAACAAAATAACTTGCAAACCATTTAAGCATAAAATAGAACTCTATATATGATAGTTTTTGGGGGTTAAACGGGACTTAAGCGTTCGTGACAAAACTGCCCCTCCCCTCCCCCTTAGTTTCGAATTTTTGGCACCCCTTCTGAAATCGCTTGGATTGAACCAAGGAACATTTGTGCCAAGTTTGGTACCTGTACGCCAATGCCTATAAAATAATCAAAGTTGCCATTTTGTTATTGAAAAAAAAAGTTTCTTCTTGTTCTAATTTGAAGCCTCTGCCCAGACAAGATGCATCTAAAAAAAAAAAGGTTATTGATTCACTTTCGTTAGGATACTAGTCGAAGCTGCATGCAATCTGCAAAAAAACGTGCTTCCGATGGTTAGAAATGCATTCCGATGAAATCACAGATACCACTTTTTAAATAGAATGAATTTTTGATAAAAAGAGCGCAAGTATCATCAAACAGTTACTAGATCGAAAAAAAAACATCTACAACGTTTGAGTTTCCGGTCATGTAATAACACAGCCAACCCACTAGAAAAAAATTAAATACTTCCGGTTTCTACCTCTCGAATTCTTGACTTCCGGTGGTCCAAACAAAAAAAAATACATATATAGATAGACTGGCAAAGCCGTTGAAAATCAAATCGAAACTGGAAACAGAAGACCAATAAAGTGAGGCAGTTTGCCGCCTGCCAATGCGCAAGAAAGTACGACAGAATATCAAGTCACGAAAATTTTAAAATACAAGATAATTGAGCCCTCGTTCGTCATCAATCGTCCTTGTCATTAAAATAAAGATTGGGGTACATGATGCCCTGGCAGTTTCGAATTGGTTTTCCACACTAGATCTTTCAAGTGGCTAATGGCAGGCTGCTTTAAACCTATGGACCGCGAGAAAAAAATCTTCACTTCCYTTTAARTYTTTCGGGCTAGTAAATGCCCATTTCAATTAGAGAATATAGTCTTGGCTGAGTTGAGCTAAAATTTCAAGCATTTGTCGGTAGTCAGTTAAAATAAAAAAAATTTKTCGGTAGTCGCTTATTTAAAAAAGGTTGATAAACAATAAGTTTCAGATAAAAAAAAAACAGTGGGTTATGTCAACAGAATGCTTTCTAAAATGCCAACAATTGGATCCAAAAAAAAGTTTTAGAGTGGCTCATCAAAACTTCAAGAAACCAATCTGAAGCAAAATTTAAAAAAAAGTTGAAAACATCGAATATAGTTGCTTGAACTATACAAAAAACTTGTATTCAAGAAAAAAATATCTTTGAATATTGCCTAAAAATATTTAATTTAATGAAAATGTCGCCAGTCAAAAAAAATGTTGTTGTCGGTAGTCACTAAATTTTGTTCAAATTTGTCGCTAAGTCAGTTGAAAAAAAGTCCATTTGTCGCTAGTCGGTTAACCCCATACAGACCCTGGGAAAAGGACCCTAAAAAAAGAGCAGCTGTCTAACCGAGCAGGTCAAAAAGGGTCTGGGACTGGACGAGGAATAAAAAAAGTTTTAATGACTTCACAAACAGAATTACTTTCGTTTTTACGCTTTGAAATGTCAAAAAAAGGAAAT